GTTTTTAACTTATGTGCCAACTGAAAATGAAGTCATCATATTCATCGGAAACGCTTCATCTCTAAGGTCCTTGTAAAAGGTACCTTGGAACGGACAATCAGTTATTTTAACAGAAGTCCTCTACATGCTTGATGTTAGAAAGAATCTGACCCTGCGATCTTCGCTAAATAGTTATGAATTTTAGAATTGTTCTTGCATCGGATAAGGTTGTCATATCTAATAATAATTCCTTTACTAGAAAGCATTTTGTTGAACCTTAAATGTTCAAACTTAATATAGCAGTGACTATTTCTGCTTATATTCTGGAATTTTTCGACATGGCATAGATGATAGTCATGTTAATTTTAATATAGTAAGAGTCATTGTTAAGCGAGTTTTTTTGCTACTTGATCATGTAACTAATTGTCATGTAAAATGTGTTACATAGAGTAAATGTAAAGGATCAGAGCCTCACTCAGAAGTGTCCCTAGTATTTCCAACAAGCTCAATCTAATTCTTAGTGAACTTCGTGAAATGATTGTTCCTGCAAGAAGAGAGAGCGTTATTTCATCATTAACATGAGAAGTATTAAAACTTTTCCATATATTACAAAGAAAACATACTTTGGTATTTATAGGGATCTCTATGCTAAGAAAAAAATAACTACGAGTGTAGCAAAGCAATTCTAAAGTTCATAACTATCTAGCAAAGGCTTTGTAGGGATCTCTACATGCATTCTTATTAGACAGTTTTGGTGCTTCTTCAAATCTGTGGGGAGAAGCCGCCGACAAAGATTAGGGATCTCTCTCGCTATGGATGGTTGCTGTTTGCGAGAGCCTCTCTTCCACCTTGCTAGCTGTCTCTCACATTCTAAATCATGTACCTTTAAAAAAATGTTTGTCAGTCCCTGTAAAATCTGGAAATCAAACTAAAAATTGACTTCACACGTCCTCTCTCTCTCTTATTATCTTCTTTCTCCCCCTCCTTTTAGGAGAGTGTTCTCTTTCCTGTCTTTTGGTATGTTTCATAGCTAATGATTGGATCTTCCTTCATTATGCTCTCTCCTCCCTGAAGATTCTTATCATTGAGCAGAAGTCGTTCGGCATATCCGTTCCTCAATCATGTTTTGGTAGGTGAGATGGATTGGTTGCTTACAGTTTTTGGTGATTCTATTGGGAGACAAGTTCAGGGTCTTGATTTAGGAGCATGATCGGTAGAAACCATACTTTTTGTGGATGGGTTTAGGTGTCAGCAGAGGAGGCAGGTTATTGGCGACCACAGAGCGGGGAGGTGGAGTGTGAAAAGGGATTTACATCCTAGAAGGGTCTAAAGCAAATGGATGGTAGCAGATGTTGTCATCTGTTTACATGTCATGGGAAAGGCTCTCTTTCCTCCCTAGAGGCAGAAGACAAATGGGGTGAATCTGATGCTACCATAGTGCCTAATCGTGTAGAGAAGTACCCTCTAGCAGCTAAGAACTTTTTTCTTTTTTTTGAAATACTTGACCGGCTTATAACTTTGTAGTCAGTTTTTGATATTGTTTTCATTATGTAATCCAGTAAATACAGAATGCTAAAAACATTTGGATTTCTTTCCTTGA